ATTTCAGGCAAGTTGGTATTTGTGCGCCATTAAAAATCTCGGAAAATGTGCCCCGAAATTCTATCCTGTTGTGGAAAGATCCTGTCGATCCACGCACTAATGAGAGGTGGGCTTTCAGTAGCACATTTTCCGAGATTTTTAATGGCGCACAAATACCAACTTGCCTGAAATAATGAGAACTAATAGTCAATGATTTATTTACGCTTTTTTTCAGTGAGATGGGACATTGGGGGTGAGTTATAGTTTACAAATTTTGCTCAAGCTGCGAGATGCTGCGAGCTTTACTCTGAGCAGTTTCTTTGGTCCTTTTCCTCCAAAGTGGAAAACTGCATTCGGTGTTGGAGGTGCAAAAGACGATGGTGAGCCAGCAGAAAAACCATAGCCAGAGGAGAGGAACAGTATAGTGGCTTGCTGATGGCCTATATGACTTTGAGGGATTAGCCAAGTCTTGTTCCTAGCCTCTCAGACGAATGTTTTTTTTACCGAGTTTAGGAGGTTTGGCTGGTCTGGACCGAAACTAATCCAGGATTTGAACATTTAAACGTGGTAGACATGCTCAGTTTTTTTTTGGATTTTCCTCAGTGGTCCGGCAATCACCTGTATTACCTGGCGTATGCGGCAAGAGAATCGTAATTCGCTGCGCCAGTAGGCGTCGCATGCGACCTCGCACCCGCAAATGACGACGATTCTTGGTGGTATGGTCGAGAATAGACAAGTATAACCAAATAGACATAAATTTTTATAACAACCTTGTCTTCATGAGATCCGATGCTTCAATCGAAAGGGTAATGTAAATTGAGGAAACGTCGCGCTAAGTGCCGCGCGCGACAAAGCGGCGATTTACGATGTCCCCCTATAACTTGGACTCCCAGTGATCATGGGATTGCTCGAGTGGGCACCACTAACATCTCCTTTCATCTATGCAACGTGCTAGACTTGCCATGAGTTCTCTTTGCTCGAGAGACCCGATGAACTTCATGCCATTCGTTCACTTTCATGAAGTCTGGCTATCGCGCAGACGATCGCCCAGGTGTTCGTTGACATCCATGGAACCCAGCCGTTAATCGCTTTGATCTAGCGGTCTCTTCAAAACGCGTAATGTGCCCTGCCCACCAAGTCTTCGAAGCACTGGCAGCTGCGTTCCTGTTCTTCAGTCGTCGACAGCGTGAGGAGCTCCGGAATTCCCTCTCTCACTTGCGTGTAGCGGGAAACTCCGAGCATCGCCCTTTCGATGGCGCGTTGAATGAACGCCAATTGCACTTTCATCCTGCTATTCGTAAAAGTCTCGGTCTTTGAGGCGCAAGGTAAAGCTTGAGACCTTGGAGCGAATAGGTGAGCACGGAGCCTCACGTTCTTTGTGTTCTATTTTGGTGTTATCGGACCGATGATCATCAAAGAAAACTGCATTAGTTTTGGAGCGAGAAATAGCATCAGGATAGCGCGTTAATATCCGTAGATTTAAAGAGATCAAGATAAAGCATACCAGTATATAGAGCCCCTACCGAATACTAGAGGCATTAAAAACCACGACAACACCGATTCAATATTATCAAATATTCATGAATAAAGAAAAATCTGTCGAAGGTCCTTCGGTGAGTCGTATGGACTTCACGGATCATATTTCCCGCTCCCTGGGCTGCTCCGGTTGCGTTTTGAGGATTTTTGTCCTCGGCTTCGCCCACTTCGGCGCATGCCCCGTCCACTGTGGGCGGGGCCTAGGTACTGTTGTATGTGCTCTGTAAATATTGGCCCTTGGCCACATCTACCTTCGAGCAAGGTTGCTCCATTCCTTAATAGTGTACAATTTCTGGATTATATATAGAGAGATTGCTAGAGTCCTTCACCAAAGAAAGAAAAATCGCCGGAAGTTTGTGTCGAAAACGTGTTTTCCGTGGAGGACTGCAAACAACTTTATTACGAAATCGATAATCATCAAAACAACATACACACAAGTATGACAGTGAATCTAACAATACAGCAAAAGCACTTACAGAACAATACCGAGACCAAGAGTCAGAGTGCATGAACTGCATCAAGACCTTGTGCAACTTTTGACAAAAACTGGTAACATTGAATCAAAAGTAGTATCTCAAACCCAGGTTCACCAGATCCAGTAAGGCAGCATAAGCAGTTTCTCTTATAGGTTGACGATCTCCTGTGTTCCAAGACATTAGAATGGCGTTTTTCAAGTGTAGCATTGTTCGAAACGCTGAAACATTGATATAATGTGATCTTGCTCAACTATCCAAAATTAAGCCATATTTGTGCGCTCCATACTGCCTGGATGTGATGGGCGTGGCCGCGTACTCCTCTCAAGCGTGGCAGCAACAGAGTTTTCGTAGGGGGCAAGTCTGTGTCAACAGAGAACAGACTGGCAGGTGTATTGAATTGCAATATCACACCAGAAACGCATCCTAAGCCAACTTTAAATAAGGTAAATGGCCACGCCCACCTCACCTTCGGGATATGTAGTGAACTATATAGTGGATGTAAGAAATCTAATGAGGCCAGCGTCAAACAGTAGAAAGAGATTTTGTGCTTGCCAGGGCAATGGAACCTAATCACCAAATTGACAAGGGGGTAGCCTTTCAAATTGAGTGACGTTTGGATTACGAACTAAGATAATTGGTGGGTTGATTCTCTTGGCGCTCGTGATTGGTCGTCGCCTGCTTTGCACTGATGAGAGCACTAATAGCTTGCATAGGCTGGGGGCCAGGGGTGCTAGCATCGGGAATAAGCAACCGCTTAGGACAGAACAGAGCACATCGTTGCTGGGGAATCCCCAATAGGGGGGAGGTCGTATTCGGGCTGGGAAAAATTCATTTTGATAGTTGATTTTTCTCGATTCACGGACGCTGTGAAAAAGGGGGTCGTATTTATGTTTCGGCGCTGTCGGAGTGGTGATTGACTTTTGGTGATTTTCCTGTTTCATGCGTACTATATGCCCCCCCCCCTCCCCCCCGCCCCCTCGACAGCAAAATTTTTGGTTAAAAAGTAGGGAAGTCTGCGGGAAATTTTGGAAAAAATGTGACAGAAAGTTAGGGGAAAATCTGAAAATTGGTAGAGGAGGGGGGACTCGTATTGTGTGGCGACATTTAACATGTTCAAGATAGAAAAAGAAAAAGATCAAAGTGATTGTACTGTTCGCTTGTTTTGCTTTTCGTGGAAATTTCTGGTTCAGAAAAGTTCTGGTTTCCTCTCTGCCTATTGTTTCAGTATCCTTTCCTTTTTCTCAGCACTACTATATCGCTAGATTCAATTTTTGATCGCTATATGTAAAGTACTGGTTATAGCAACTGACTTTTCGAGAACATTCAAGGCCAGTTTTTAGTTCGCATCGTTTTTAGAGAAGTTATTTCCGTGGGTGAGAATAAAGGTGTATTTCAATGCTGTATTATCGTAGAACATATGACCGTTTTTTCAACGATCGCTAGTTCAACCCCAGTAGCGAGATACTGCCACTGCGGTTCATAATCTAAGTTTGTCATTTGTCACACGGTGACAAATGCATAGGAATCCCAAAAGTGATTCTAAATTAGTCACCACTTTTCTGTGGTATTCCTGTCTTCACTATCAGATAGCAAGACAAAGCCAGCCGCCGTTTTGTGTTTCGTGCCTGGGGGTGCAGCCACAGTTTTTTTGATATTCAGTTCGAGAAAAGAAGGTGAACTACTAGTGTGGAACTTCTTGGTTTCTCAGTTGTTTCTCACTCAAGAAAACGCTACCTAGATGGGTCTACATATCTATGGAAAGCAAAATGCCCCCCGTCGATAC